ACTCTCGATATAGTGTATTTTTGAGAATTTTTTACTAGTAGATTTTTTTGATACACTATAAAGAGAGTCACTGTGTAGTCAAGTTTTTTCTCAAACAATATTAGTAGATATAGTGAAGATTGTACCACCTGATGGGGGTTGACCAATCATAATACAAACACGTGTTGATTAAAAGTATGTGCTACGCCTTTCTTGTTCCCTTTTGTTTCTTCGTTTTTTGAATGGCTTAATAAATTATAACCAAATCAAGAGGTTTCTACATAACTGAACGGTATGACACTTGCTACGTTAAACAACTCAGTACCAGTACATTTCATACAAATCGTTCAGCAGTATTAGATTTGTCAGTAGAAATAACGTTTGAGTCATTTATTATTATACCGCTATAAGATTTGCAGTCGCAACATAGTGAAGATTTATGCCACTTATATATGAACTTTACTATATCGAAATTCCTGATATAATGAAGTTTCGAAGTTTGAATGTATTCAAAACTTCCTTTAATAATTGTCGTGCTAGCATTAATGACGATTTCCTCGCTATCATTTATGTCATCTATTTTTGCAATTTTTTTATTAACATTTTGAAGAGATATACTGTAGAACGGCCCAGCGCGGCAATATTGTTGTGGGTTTATTGAAATGTGATTACTAAAATACTACTTAGCAACGTTATTTTATAATAATATCGATGTAGGTTTGTGATTAATTGGCTAACTTTTTTAAATTTACGTGCGTGCACTTATGGAAATGATACAATTATATCTGAGACTCAGAATTGTTTGCACGTATAGAATGTGGAGGGTGCGCATTTATGGAAATGCGACTGTAAAAGTCAATTTTATCTTCTTTTACTTATTAATTCGAAGATGAAATAAGGAGATTTCTCGATATACCGCCTTCTTGGATTACATCGATGAATCTTAGCTAAAGTAAAAGCATAAAATAACTTGGAAAATAAGGGCCAATGATAAAGTTTTACTAACTTTTCGTTTAACTTGTCTATCGGAGCGAAAAAAATCAAAATAGAAAATGATTGAAAATGGAGCGACAAAATACCAACTAGATAACTGCAAGAATCAGAACCATAGCTTTTTATTTTACCGGTTAAACGATAAGTTGAAATAAAACGAAAATGACTAAGTTATATATTGTTACAAAGAAAAGAAGTTGAGAAAGATTGTTATGTTATAATTGCTGCTAAAATAGAAAAAACGGAGGTAAAATGTGATATTAAATTCAACTCCTCTTTTAGCACGCAAAAGTGATGAGATATTAAGTGGAATAAAAAGTTAAATAATTAATTTTTAGACAAGTTAGTTTTTTTCCAAGCATTAAGAATGTAATTTTTATTTTAACCAATTATTTCAAAATTATTTATATTCTATATGCCAAAGTTACCAATGTTCTATCACAATGACCGTCTACATTAGGTCATGCTTAAGCGACAGTTCTGGCTGATGTAGTTGCTCATTGTAAATTATTTCAAACTGGTAGCGACGAAAAATTTGAAAAACAAAAGCTAACTTATTATTATTAGGTATTTATTCTCAGAAATTAGTTGACAAAATGTTCTCTTATTTAAACAATTACGAACAGAGTTGAAATTTTTTATCGCACTTTTTCTCTTAATCATCTTCATAAAATTACTAAATAAACTGAGACATTTATTTAGGTATAATCAAGGAAATATTGTACGGCTTGCGAATATTATGTGAATGAGGGCAAAGTTGCTGATAATAATTTTTGTCCAATTCCTAGTTGTCAAACTGAATTGCGAGAAGTCGAAGAACCAGCCTATTTTTTGAAATGCAGTAAATATTTCTCTGGTCTAATACTAATAGAACAATTCACAAAATTCAGATTTTCTTTTGCTCCAATATTAAAAAAACTATTGAAAATTAATTTTCTCAAAAATAATATTTCATGAAAGCAAACTATTATTGGTATCCTGTGAGTCAAGATAAAGCCAACTATATTATTTTATTCCACCAAGTAAGCAGAGATAATCTCTCTGTATAAGCAATTACAAAATGCGTACCTTGTTTCGCATTTAAAGCATAGACGTTGTCGGCAGATGTTAAAGCAAAACTTGACAATAACAAATTAGGTCAACTTACGTGAGTTTACATTTGCATTCACTTTGAATAAAACTTGTATTATACAATTTTCTTTTGATATAGAATCTTTTGTTCGATGTAGCATCTGAAACATTTACAGAGCATTTATGAAATAATGTCACAGAGAACTACTCATCGTAGTGTTTCCCTGTTATGAACATTTTTCACGTGAATAGCAAAATATTCTGTACGATATGCGCAGCCTTGTGACATCCATGTAGATACCTTGTATACACTGAACGTGCGCAAGTTACGTACAGTTTTCATGCAGATGCGCGTAACTCGACCCGAATCTTGACAAATTCGTATACTAATACGGTGGCAAAACAGTTATGCAAAAGTACGAGTTCGACGTTAGTTTGTTAAATGCATGAATAAGATGCGAACTATAAACTTACCATATCTCATCACTAATCTTTATTTTTTCTCGTACCTTTGTGAATATTGAGCAAAATGTACAGCCTTTAAATGAGTTTCTAATAAAATATGCATCAACATAATTCCATGCTTGCAACTTTTTCTTACTTTCTCGCATGTATTAGTATAATGTCAAGATTATTCGTGTGGAATAAGTCTACGAGTGTACAAGTATATTCCCAAATTATGGCCTATATGTTTGAATTTTTAGTAACTCGGTGAATTTCTCCCATACAAAGACATTAATTTACCGATAATGATATTTAGAAAAATAATACAGTAGACGTTCAAACACCGTGCCATTTCATAGCCTGATACTTTTGATTTGAGCATTTTTATCGCCGGCTGTCACCTACAAAAATTAAAAGTTAGCGGTTCTATTCGAGAGGTTTTATTCAAAATAAGCAGCATTGAAGCATCGCTGTTGAATTTACGTGTCTAGAATGACAAGTGTTCTTAGTTGGGAGGAGCTACTCGGAGGCTGATTATGCGAAGCTAAATTGTTGCGTAAGCAAGAGTCCTATGAATGAATACATTTTACCCATGATGCGACATAAAGAATGCTTCTGGTTACTTTGCATCACAGTGCCAAGAACAGAAGATCTCTCTGATCGTCGTCTACGCCGAATGGGTGTATATCATGCAGATTTGTTTGCCGTAAATCATAATAAGTGCTATTTCTGTCGAAGAAAAAAAACTACATGTCCATAACCTTGTTCATTGATGTGCGACATTATTCTTATACTAGCGACATGAATGGTGGCCGTTCGATGCAATTGAGATAACATTCCCGGATTGTTTCGGAAATATCTTATCCTACGTTAAAACATTAGGTGAATCTTAATGTTAATTTAGCCATAAGCGGAAGACGCCTCCCTGTGGCATGGGTTTTATCAACAAATCATACTCAAAATTTCGTTTGTGCTTTGTTATTTGTTTGGGCGTCTATTTCTCCCATCCGGCTTTCGACAGATAGGGTGGATTAATTGCATCATTCATTTGCGCTGTTGTTTAAATATTTCGCTATACAATACCCCATTATGCGGTATTTCCGTAGGCCTTATTTGAACGGCTTTCTCGATATAGTAATTTACATATGTTGATCAGAGATCATACGATGTTTCTGCAATGTTACCCAAGAGATATTGTGTCAATATTAGTAAATAATTCGGTTTTGGGGTATCATTCAGGATACGGGAACCAATCGATGTCAATACAAGAGTGCAGGTATAAAGGTTATGAGAAGTGTCTAGACCTGTTTCTTTTTTTCAATGAGGGGTTATGGGTTATAATGTAACGATTGTATACACTTGTAGTTTTTTAGTTAACCCAATATATTCTGACTTGTTTCCAATTCCCTGTGCAGCATCTCCATATCAATCTTATCACATACGCGGGCGCACAAGCAGTATTCTTCATGACATTGTTAGAATCTTTTATAGGTTTATTGCTCCTTTTTGTTTATGTTCGTTTGCACCTGACAGCTTATCAACATGATCTAATGGTGCAATTGCTTTGAAGTACGATTATCATGTCGTTACACTGTCGAAGTTTTGCCTAAGTTGTCTGCATCAAAGAAAAGAAAAAAAGAAGAGTTCATAAACTTTTATCCAGCGATCGTCAAATATATTTTAATTAATGATTTGGATAGTTGACCGACTATATATCATTATTTTATTAATAAAATAAAACAATTCTGGTTTAAACTAAACCTATATTATTTGGGTAAGATTTATATGTGAAGGATTAAAGACTATTGGTGAGACACAACAGCCATACATTCTTTATAGTAAAAGAAAGAGTAATGTGATTGAGACGTACTAAGCAAGGGGTAAATGTTTGCGTTTTGTAGAATAACATCTTTGCTTTGTATTATTAATCGACTAAACTTGGCTTCTTCTTTGCGTTCTCCTTACATATCTTCTTCGATTCGGGCCAGAATTGTAGTCTAGACACATATTACAATTATATACAATGCCAAGACATCAGTGGTCACATTTTTATGCAAGCCCATGCTAGTACTATAGCAATAGAATAACCTAGAAATCTGTATACTTCCAGTCAAACCTCGTTATACTGAAATATCGGGGGAGACGTCTACGATTCGGTATAGCGAGATAACGGGATACCTCTATATAACAAGGTCAAGCAATATTCGTTATAATGAGACTTTATTAAATAATATTTTACTAAATTTACAAACAATGAATACGTAAAAGAGTTGACTACTCAGTTACAAATGAATCTATTCGACTTTGTTTCTGTTTTGCGATACTATGCAATTTTTCTTCAATGCGCGAAAGGCTCTAAATTCACCGTAATTTGTCTCTATATCACTGTTGATTTGTTGTTGAGACATTTTATTGATAATAGTTGAAAAGACTAAATTGAAAAATATAGAAACTCTCGTTGCATATTTAATATCAATCGTATGACAAAGAGCGAACATCATAGACCTGGTGACTAAATATAAACGGATACGAACATGACGGCTGAAAAATCGTACATGACGATACGATTAGAAATATCCATCCGCTACAGCCAATCACTACTCTAATTTTAATCACGTGGAAAAACGAAAATTCTAATGATAACGAGGTTTGACTTGTTCGAATGAAGAAGTGCTGGTGCATGTATGCTGACTAAGAGGTGCATTAATATTATTATCGATTGGCTATTGCCGCCAGAATAAACTAATCGTCGTTAACAATCTATCCGAAAACATAATAAACTAGTAAAACATAAAGTGTGCAACGATAATCTAGAAAGTAGAAAGTGACGTCATCCAGAAAATTGTTAATTAAAAAAAGTGTAACGGGAAATTCGTTTTCGATTTCTTCCTCTAGTCACGGAAGCTTGTAACTAAATCACTGCGCATTCAATTCATGTCTGAACATTCTATGCTATATCAACATAACATATTTGTATCTCGGAGTTTTAATCGCATTTGGCACTATGCACTATCTGATATCGTTGTTTAACCGGTATGAAACAACCCTTAAGTTATCTGGCTGTGCATTTAATCGTCGTGATGAATCAGCAGATATTTCTTACCATACTCTAATACGCATCTAGTCACCAATTACCGTATTAGTATGTTTGACACCGAATAAACAGAGTTGAATTTGTTTTAATCTGTGAGGTGAATAAGTTTCCATATCTGACTGGTATTTTAATTGTAATACCGAACACACACCCCAATATACAAATATTAAAATCAAGTAAAATTGTAGTCTTTTCTTTACATAACAATTTCATCCCATGTCCGATGTCACAGATTGTACTATAATTTGTCAACTCGGTACTCCCTATTAAGCACTGATCTTTGTGTGTTTGTTGGTTGATTTATTATTTTATTTTACAAAAAACCCGTCTAAAACACCGGGAAATTGGGAAGAGTTTAACTTTATGCACGTTATAACAAAAAGTATTGCGTTTTGCATTGAAAAAGTTCATCCTAGTGAAGTTCATCCTTGTGGGGCCTCGTCAGCGTAAAAACCCGAAAGTACAAGTCTCAGTAGTCACTTGTTTACCAAGTCAAAGACCCGAGTCAATAGCTGCGACTCAGAACTAGAATTTAATTTGATAGCTACTTTAAAGTCGGGTACATATCGTAAAGTGCTTTATGTATTTTATGGCCAAAAAATCGTCCATCTGGACATCGCTATAGCAAAAATACGAGCCTCACACCAAAATCTTTGACCGTCTGGAAATGTAAAATAAACAATTGACTTTTTAACAAATGTTGCATATAATGATCTCGATAAACTAATTTAATCATTGCGCATGGATAAACAGGGAAAATAGGTATTCTGGTGAGCTGTTCTCTCCCAGAATTTATGCAATGCTGGCAGCATAAAGCCCACAATTCTCCTTCTTGTGCATACAATACAGACGAAGTGCAAAATTTGTATCTTTGTAACATTTAATTATTTTTCAAAGCCCTAAATTCAGGAAATAATACGGGAATATGCGCGTAAGTAACGCACAAGAACTGAATGTAGAAAACTTGGTTCCTAATCAAAGGTGCTCAAACTGATTTCGATGGGCCTGACATCAGTAAGCAGAAGTAGTAACCAGATATACTCTAAGGATTGGAGTAAATAAACTGATTGTTAAATTTCAACATCCAACCGCCCTCTGGTCAAAACTTTGCTACTTATAATTCCCCGCTATCCAAACCTTACTTAAAATTCAACCATTTTTAATATTCCACTGAAAAGCATTTATTTTACAAGCAATCTAATAATGACGCGAAACTATAAATAAAATTTCGCTTCTTTACAAACGTCGAGAGAAATGAAAGAGAGTATTGCGAAATGTATTTAACAAAATAAACATAGTATCCCTCCTTCATTTTAACATGAAGTGGGTTATGACATGACATATTAATGAGGGAACAGCTTATGGCAATTGACCGGCGCGGATGTCGAATACATCGCCAGTAACCTTAAATGCGATTCTTATTCGAAAATTCTATAATTATCGAGGAAGAAAGTTACGGCACAAATGGAAAGAGTTAACCATCAATATACATTAATATCAAATTGGGATATAACAAATAATCCAATAATGTTTCTATTAGCAATCCAACGAGACGTCTTATCTATGACTAATTACCTTATTTTAACTTTGGAGGCAACCTCACCCCGTTGACGATAATAGTAGCACTACTGCTCCCCATGCTAGGCCAGCTAGTATAGGGTAGATCGTAAAAACGCTTGAGACGACGATGAGAACAACGTATGGCGAAGAAACGTCGTTTTATCTGTCATAATAACGCTGGCGGTATGACAGATCTGCCGATACAAGCATTAGAAGGTGGGAGAAGGTGCTTTTATATCTAAGGAATATGTGTATAGCATTTGGTACAGTTCAATGTGCGTATAATACTCGGGCAAAACACATGTCACCATTAAATACGTTATAGGGAGTAATGTTGAATGACGAGAAAGGTTGCCCCAAACCACCTATTGGAAGGCGACTGGACTATTTATGTAAGTGCCACAGAAACAAAAAGGAAGAAAGAAAAAAAAAAGCCATCTAAATAAAAGATAAAGAAATTGTAAAATAAAAATAAGCGAGTGTATTGTTATTCGCTACTTTTATATGCGGCCATGTTGTGTAAGATAGTAATGTAGTGTATTTGAACCGAGTTAATGCATATTTAAATATGACTATTCGAAATATGAGTGGATAATAAACCTATAGGCCAACAAATATTTATATTAAGGTTGCGGAACAATACGGTAATATAGCGTAACAGAAAAGGCATGTTACATGTATTGGTTTAATCGAATCCCGAGTATTAGTTGTACTTTTATTATGTTACCTGAATTCTTTTCGCAACGAGAAAAAAAAAAGCACATGTACCGAAACAGCTTATGTTGTGAATGTATCATGATTGACGTAGCCAATAAGGAACATGAGTCATCTTAATGCATCATATGCATCTATGTGATATCACGTTTCTTTATTATCACGAATAGAAAAAACTAAAAGCAAAAAAAAAAAAAATCACTTGCTCGTCACACGAAATATCACAATGAAACATGTTGAGTAACGTCACCTCTTAAGGGGCGTAGAAGCGTGTCGTTCACAAAACAATGCTATCAGATGATGAGTCTGTGACAGAATGGACGTTATGCATATGTTATGGGCTACAATTGCCCACCGAATTTTTTTTTTAAAGACAAAAAAAGGATGCTGAACGCTTTTCACAACTTCAGCAGCCTCGAACGTTGATGATACAAGGGTAGAGAATGCTGGCGACGATAATGTGCAGTCGTGGGTAGTCATGTACAGTAATATTATAACGTCAATTATACAGACGTATGACTGTTA